TACCGTTGCTCGTCCGAATTTATGGCATCGTTCGATTACGCGCGACGCGTTCCGGCTATTCTGCCCGGATCACGATTATAATGCGTGCACTCTCTCGCACGAGATGCGTCGTCTATATATTTTCTCCTTCGGCAACGACGTTTGCGAGGAAACATTAGCGACGCTGCGTTAGTTTGATTATTAATTAGGCAAAGTGGCTCGCAATTATTTAGCGTCTCCTCCTTCTTCTCGTCGAGATTAATCTCGGCCAGTTGTATAATCTAATAAATTCTCGAGAAACGGAAAGGATCGATATTTCCGTGTTGATCCGAGGTCTTCCAAATAAGTACGCGAAGAAAAGGCGAAAAGTGCCAAGTGGACTCCTCTCGGCGATTTGCGCAAAGTGGACGGAGGCAAAGCGCGTCGCGATGCTAGCGTAAATATTTGATAACACGGCGATATAGGCGGCGGTCTATCGATGGTGTACGCGATACGAGAGACAAGCGGGGGTGGGAAGGAGGGGCGCTTTTGGCCGCGCGCATAGCTCGCATACCGGGCCTTCCTCGCGTGGTATGTTATAATTAGTACTCCCCCTCCCCTCCTCTTCTCCTCGCGCACGCAACATTGATATGTCCACACGGGCCTCGGAATACTTCCCTAATGAGATCGCCCCGATAAACAACGGGTTAAGTGCATCACTCTCCTTCCGATATCTCATCATCCCCAAGGACAACGCGCAAGCCAAGGTATCATGCTCCTTTTACGCGTACGTAAAATTGCGGGATGTTTATTGCCGCGACGAAAGAGGACTTCCCTCCTACCCCGAGCGCGCGTTATTAAGGAACCTCAACGCGTAGAATAATCGTAAAAGATGCGAAATGCGCGCGGCTGCGTCAGGATGTGCCATTCGACAAAGTTTTTCAATATGTTCCGCGAACGGAGCTAATTCTTCCCCTTCTCCCTCTCTCTCTCTCTCTCTCTCTTTCTGTCTCTCTTCTCGCCAACGGGGTATTTCTCTCGATTTTATTACCTCTCAGAATCTGTGTGGGTGTAAACCGGGGAGTTTTCGCAGCGACGACGACATACGAACGAACGAGAATTAAAATTCTAGTTTGCGGAAAATTTTCCGGAAAAATTGCGGGAAGCAAATCATGTAACGTCTATTCAGCGAATCATCAAGATGCGATTTTGCGCGATGAAAATAAACGCGCGCTAAACGTATCTCGGCTTCATTTTACTCGCGCCACAATAGATTTATATCGCGCATCTCGCATGCACAACATAAACATGTTTTTACACTACGTCCTCTGTCCAGATGTAGAAGCGTCAGCGAAAAATTACTTGGTTTCTCGCAAACGCGCAAAATTTTTAACATCGCACAAAATTTTTAACGTCGCCAGACCGCTTAAAACGCCCCACGGATGCAATTAATGTAAATGCAAAATCGTGCGGGATAATTTTTTTCACAATCTTCTCGGATCGTGATTAAAGGGTCTTTGATCTCCGAGCGGACGAAAAAAAATCCTGAATCTTCCGTTCGAGATCCGAATAATCATCACGGTATGGTCTTTTATATCTCCGAACGCGTGTTTTCTCCTCAATCGTTTCGACTTTCTCTGATCAAAGCGCACAGAATTTGTTAATAATCTATAATATAAAATTAACGGTATCGCAAGGGGAAAGGAAACGTCGGTTGCGCTCGACTTTCGCGAATCGAGGGATCTGAAATGATATTTTTTCATTCCTATTTCCCGCCGTGAAAAATCTGAGCTGTACGAAAGGGTCCCGTGGCGGAAAAAAGTTTCTATATTAGCGACATTCACTCTCATTTGCGCGACAAACGCCGTCGTCATTAGGTGAAGACGCGCGGGAAGGGGAGCAGAGGAAAGGGGAAAGGGGACGCAATTGCGAGTCGTTCCGAGGATGAATAGGGTGGACGACGCGCGCTCTCCTTTCTTCCTTCGCCTTCCCTCCGTAATAATCGTTACGTCGGATAGTTACCTTAGGAAAACGGCACGGCTTGTGTGTGTGGATAGGTGCACGTGAGATACCGATACCAGCGATATACCTCCAATTATGTTTCATTAGGAGCCTTAATTCGGTACTTTGAACGCTGTAACACCGACGACTCCGGAACGAAATTGCTCGCCGAGCACTTGTATCTTTGGTAAGGCGCGACTTGGGAAATTAAATATTGTCCTTAGCATAGGCATTCTCCCTCCGCGAATGTCGCGTAATTCTTTGGAGGGATATCGCGCGTATCACTTCGGTAATTGTTTTCCCTCGCTCGAGAAAACGCGGCTATTTCGACGCTGGAGCGTGAGGGAAACTTTAAAAACGCAATCTGAATATAACGATTGTGCAACAAATTAAACTTCTGTCTGTTGTAGAACACGTATTTATATTTCATCTTGCGTCGCATTATTTCGAGAACGAAGTAATCTTGAAAAAGTTGAGTCGTAAATATTCGCAAATATTCGTAAAACGAACGAACGTCGATTTAATGTATTGTACAACGTGGAATCTGACCGCGCGATATTTTTACTCATTTATAGATATACACGTTTTACAGCAAAAAGAGGACGTGTATGTATAATAAAGCTTGATAGGATTCTCGTTCGCGAAATTTGATAATGATATGTACATCCTAACAACAATGTACGAATATTGGAGGAGCAACATCACCGTTATCAATTATACGCCGATAAAGCTGCTAAACTTAATCTCGGAAACATCGAGCAGTTTCGATCACTAAATCGCCCCTTACGCTCGTCGATTGAAATTTATTGACACGCCATAATTACACGCCACGGAAATTGATTGTACAGCGTTCTGATTTTCATTAGGCGTGCACGCGCGTTTAAGCATTGTGCAAAATTCATGTTTAAAATCGAGAACCATGAAGGGAGGATTCCTGTTCCATGAATGTTCCTGTTCTGAAGATTTCGACGCTTGCAAATAATATGACATTAAATAATTTGTAATAATTTGATGATATGATTGAATTTTCAAGGAAAAAATCAAGCAACGCTATTCTTTCTTATGAAATACATTATTCGAATTGAAATCTAGAGAAAGAATTATTCTCATATATTCTTTTTTAAATAGAATAGATATTTTAAAATGTTATAATATTACAACTTATGTTTTATATACGTAAGATAAATTTCTAACAATAGAGATATACAGTAAGATGAATACAAATATATATTTAATAAACAAACAGAAGTTAATATACGTGAAATATGTAGAGAAGAAATATATAAGTGAAATAAGAGTTCTGTTTATTTCTTCGGGTTTCATATTTTCGGGGTCATATTTTAAGAATAAAGATGTATAATATGCACATAAGTTTGAATAATTTGAATACTAATACGAAATTTCACTGCTATAATTGATAACACATAAAACAGAGAAAAGCAAAGTGTCGGTATTTTTAATGAAGATCAGCGAAATATTCATTGATCTTTGAAGAAGATATATCTTGTCACTGCTTTAATTAGTGACACTTTTATTGAAGTCAGTTTAAAAGAGGCTGAAAGAGTTTATTAAAAAAGACAGAGAAAGAGAGAAAGAGAATATCTTTCTCAATTTTTCAACCCTCTTGGCAGATTCCCTTATTATGGAGCAACGGTTGATTGCATTCGATTGTAAATCAGGGAAAAGGAACGCGTCTACAAGGAATCGAAGAATAGATATCGCGAATCCTGTCTCTTCCGCGATTGAATTAAAAAATGAGGAAAATACAAAGAGCTCGCGTACGCGAGCGGAGAGCAGAGGTCGATTCGGGAAAAATGCAGCGATACTGAATACATATGTATTTGTTGCCGCGAACGGGTTAAGCATTCCCGATCTCTATTTGCGTTTCGTTCGGAACGCACTGTTTGTCTTCAATTCGCGAGGATCGAAAAATATCGGGGAGGCATACGGGTTAATGGCAGCGCAGACCGCGGTGCGATTCACGTTTCGAAATGCGTCCTCTCCCTCTCCCTCCTTTCCTCCCTCCCGACAAATAAAATACGATGGCATCAATAATACCGCTTTTAATCGAGCGAATTTTCCACGTTGCTAAACTTCCTTTCTGCTCGCCATCTAAGTATTATGTAAGCAGAGCCAACTATAAAATCTGGGAATTATACTTGTAACGCTACGCGCGCAAATATTTCTCTCTCTTTTCGTCTCTGTGGACAAATACGGAAGAAAAGGAGATTGTACGCGAAGGGATGTTCCGTGTAATAATTCGAGAACCGTTTATTCGTAAGGGAGAACACATCGAGGATATGGAATGCGAGGAGGAATTTCGGTCGGAGGCGTCGCGGCGAACGAGTACGAGGTGATGTACGTTTAATAACGGAAGGCGAGTTGAATTCGCACCCGTTTTGCTGTAGTAATGGAAAAGAGCGCCGTGCGGGCCGGTTTTACGACATATTAGTCGCGAAAATCGTAGATTCTTGGAGCGCCCGACATTTTTTCGCGACACGGGAAACATACCGTACGCGTCGTCGGTAGGACGATAAATCGAAGCGCGGATTCTTGGTCCACGGATTGGCGCCTATTTCGACGATTGTCGTGATGAATCGCGCAGTATATAAAAACTTAAAAATAAATGAATTATTTCCTTCAGGGAGATGATATAATAGACGCTTTAATGGACGATATAAATTACGTTGAGCTTTTGTTGCGATTATCACAAATAATACTTCAGAGATATGCAAACATAAGCGTCTCCTTTTAATTTCTAGTTTATTTAATCAATCAATATTTCTAAAAAATATATATAAATATATATAAAATATATATATATATAAAATATATATAAATAAAATATATATAAATATATATAATATATATATAAAAATATATATAAAAAGAGTAGGATATTTGTCGAAATTTTATTAGGGCCGAATCCCTAAGAGTTATTTCTATCACGTATTTAGTTGAAGTAATAGTGAACGCAATTTCGTAAATTGCGTTGTTAATTTTAACGAGATTTCGCAACCAGAAGAAAATTGCAAACTTACGTGTACAGCGGTACTCCGGCTTCGTCTTTAAACCAGAAAACCATATGCAGCATGTCTTCGCCGGGAGGAGTGATGTCGCACGGTAATTCGGCGGGCCTTCCTTCCACGACGCTAATGTTCACCAGTGGAACTGAAAACAGAACATTTAACGATGATCGTCTCGCGCTTATTCTGATTGGAAGCCCGTAGGCTGCGTGTTATGCTTAATCTTTGAGCATTTTTCATTTGCATGCTATTTCTTCCCTTGCCAAGCTTGTATAACAGCGAGATTCTTTAATCTCCGATACGCTACGGGGAAAATGAATTTTACCAACAGTTTCCCCGAGCATTTTACAAGAAACGCGAAAAACAAAAATAAATCGAAAAGCAATACTCGCGTTCGATGCGGAAATATCCGAAACATCGGCGGTTTGCCGGCCGCGACCCGATAGGACGATACGCGAAATCGGATGGCCGATGGGATTAAGAGATTCGGCTTATGAAATTTCGTTTCTCCGCGGACATCCCCGCCGTAGAGCTGATCGCTCGTCGACCGGAGGCGCAATTCAGACTAGACCGATTCTAGCGCAAGTTGGATAGAGCTCGTTGGTCAGATCGCACACGGGAGGGCCAATTCCTTCCGTAAATTTCCGGTAGGCTATTCCCAAGAAACGAGTTTCCATTCGATTCGGTCGGCTGCCCTCTCGGCTTCTCCGCCCCCGCGTGACGAGCGGGAAAGAGAAAACCGGGATAAGGGTTCCCCCGGTTCGCCGGATTCCCGGGAATCTCCCCGACTCTTTTTGTGTACCGCTGACCGATCGACGCGAGAAAGAAAGCGACCGCGTCTCGCCTCGCCGCTTCCGATTTGTCGCGCGCGAAAACGGAAATCGCCGCCGGCTCCTGACGTCGAAATTCGATGGGGATGAAGCGGTCTCTTTTCCCGAAACGAAGGCGACAACAACGAAAAAATTTATCCTCTCGTTTCTACTTCCCTTCGCAATAAAATACATCCCTGTCAATTCTCTCTTTTGTATTTCCGTTCTTAATAGAGATTTTTATTCCCTTTTCTGCCTATATTTATAATATCGAAAAATAAAAGATAAAGCTAAATTATATATCTCTTATTAATATATGATACTAATATAAAACATATCAAACAAAGTCTCAGCAAACTGTCAAACTCGTAATATCGGATCGAGATATCTTGTTTCCGTTATTAGATACACTAAATGACATTGAGTCACGGAATATCACATCTAGATACAAATTAAGAACGTGTTAACTTTGATATGAGATAGTTATCAAAAATTAATTCTACCGATGGTGCAAAATTCTCCTTTTTATAGAGAAATTATTTTTGATACACAAGATCATCTATATTGTAATATAAAGACAATATTATTTTTTTTATAAATAATAAGATGTAATTTTATCTTACATTATAAGAGATGTAATATTATCTTAAAAAATATATATCGAAATATAATAAACTTTTTAATATATATTTAAATAAATCGAACCATGAACTCTCCTTTTACCTTCACCTCTTACCGATAATCAATACGGTATTTTTAACCGACTACCTACGCGTCTCCTGGATATTTAAGGTGGAATTTTAAAAAACCTTATCAGCGCGCGAGCAAGGGACAAGTATAAAGATTAGCATAGGCTTAGTATTTATTGCATGCCTCCGGCTCCAACGATGGGCATAAATATTGTTTAAGGGCGACTCTTTATCATATAAACGCCCCAACGTATAACGGTACTCATTTGAATTCCTGCTTTTTCTAGGGCATAAAATGGGCTTCGTCGACGCGCAACAAGCCGTTTACTTCCACCCTCCTGGGCTGGTTGTCGGAACCGTTGCTACCACGGTTGCTACCAGCAGCAATGGCAACGGGAAAACCGCAAGTTGTCGTCGCTACGCATGGAAAATGCAAGAAATTTTCATGTGAATTCGTTACAATTTTATGTATTGTGTACTTCGTGTAACTCACGCTCGATTCAGCGTGGCGTTTTTTGTTCTCATTGTTTAATCGCTCATAAATTCAAGCATTTCGCAGCGTATGACTGGATTTTAGAAAAAGCAGATTTCCAGTGGAAATTAACTTAAATTATATTTCCTTGAGAAACGAAATTCGTGTAAAACTCATCTTTAAAAAAGCAAAAATTTTACTACTAGAAATTATAAAATGTATAACATTACTAAAAAATTTATTATGAATATTATTACATATTAAATTCTTATTATAAGAATATATTCTTAGAAAAATTTGCATCTTTTCTGTCACAATATTCTTTATGTGAGCCATATAATTCACTAAAATATTTTTCCAAAGGAACGTAAAAAATCTTTTTATATATTACTAATAAATTGATTATGAAAAGCATTAATTTCAGACAATATATTCAAGACGTTGAATGTGTCATACATTTATCATATATTATACGTTTGATCTTATATCGCGGTGGAAATTTATATTTACTCGCATCGATTATATATTTCTGTGTAATTTCTAAGTCGACAGGCACGAAAGCAACTATGGAGTATCGATCGGCCGATGATCGACGCGTATACGTGCGTGTACTGACGTTTAAATACCAAGCGGAGCCTTGAAAGCGTTTCGATTAATGGAATTCCGCAACACGTCCGCAATTAACCCTCAAAGACCCGAGGCGCTGGTCGAAATGTCCAGAGGCGCGCTAATGGCGGACGATGGTCGTGTCGCATTCGAAACGCATTTAATGAATTCATTATCGATCAAATCGCTATTCGGCTGCGCCTTTCGCGAGCATTAATGTCATGCTAATCGAAACACTATCTGATCTCGAAATCGATACGCTTAAAATGATTTCAAGTGATCGAGAAACACGAATGAATTTTATTTCCGTCTAAATTTTATTTCCATCTAAAAATCGGACACACGAAAAAGTCAAGAGGTTGTTGGCAATTTCGAGTCGTCGGATCGAAATGCTCCTCGTAACGTTGATCGGACAAGTTTCCCGATTGATTCGCGCGTCAAAGAAAATTTCAGTTTGCGCCAATTGTTTTTCGTTAATACGATTGCTACATTCAACTGCGCACAGGGTCGCTAAAGGAAACGTAGCGAGAATAATACCGCGAGTTTCGAAACTCGATACGAGTCTTTTGTTCTTTCTCCTTCTCTCTCGTCGCTTTTATAAAATAAAGTATATAAAAAAGTTTCGAAGTGTGTCCATCCGCTCTGCGGTGGCACGCAAAAATGTGGCACTGGAACGTGAGGTTTAATTGAATGTCGCGGATGAAGTTCCAACTTGTACGAAGAAGAACTCGGAAAAGTTTAGCCGATACCCGCGGGAAAAGAAAAACCGGATATGTCACGCTTGAAACATAACAGACGTGTGACGCTTGTTTTTAACACGCTCAATTATATATCGCCGTAGCCGCACGATGACAGATGTTCGGTTACACCGCCGTGACAACGTCACTCGTGCATTTCAGAATGATGTCTTCATTAATAATTAATAGCGCTCGGCAGCTTCGCGAACGTAATTATTACGGGAGAGAAAGAGAAAAAGAGAGAGAGAGAGAGAGGCGGCGCCCAGAAGAGTTACATAATTCTATTAATAATGCCAGGCCATTACATTTGCCAGAGAACCGTGTGAATAATGAAAACTTCCGACAAAAACTTCACCGTGGGAGGCATTAATTGCTAACGAGGAGCGAGAGATCAAAGTCATGATCTTAATACGGCTCGTCCCGGAACATTTTGAGAATGTCGCCCCTCGTTTTCTCCCTTTTTTTCCTCCCATCCGTTAATATCGCGCAGCATGTGGTGCAGGGAAAATTGAACCAAACTTTCCGCGCGAAAAAAAGAAGTAAGTCTCGCCGTAGGTGGACGTCGAAGTCTGTTGTGTTCCTTTCCTCCCTCCCATCCGCGCCCTCGGGGGATTTTCGCGTGAACTTTTCCCAACTTATATCTTCGGCGTCTTCGGCTGAGCCACGACATGACAGTGAAAGCAAGTATTTTCATAAATCTCCAGGAGCGACGTAGATTGATCATGTCGTCTGTATCGACATCGCCATTACGCTCTAATCGCACGAATCCGGATATACGTTAATGGACGATCTCCCTGTATATATCGAGTGCGAATTAAGGGACATTTACATATACGTTAAAAGACAAAACCTACGAATAGGATGAAAATATCGAAATATACGGATGTTTCAAATTTTGCGCATTTCTGAGAGAAACCTCGTTTGGTTCGAGCATTACGCATCGTGTGGAGGCTCGAAATAATTTTATCACGATGAACGCATGACTCGCTGATCGCCGATTAAAACTCGACGCACGTCTCAAGCCTCGCAAATGTATCCGCCGCGAATTAGCACGCAATGGGAGCGGTTTCGCCGCATTACGTGCGCGGGTTGGTACGATCGGACGGATTCGGGAATAGCGGCCAAAGGGTAGGTCTGTTATTTAGGGGTTGTTAAGTGTCCCGAGCACCCTCTTGCTATCCTCGGCGAAACACTCCTACGCGAAGGTCCCTTCAACTTGGCAGACCCGTTTGCTTCCGCTAAGCGTATCAGCCTCACCATTGTCTACGCTCATTGTCCCACCTCCTCCTCCTCCTCCTTCTCGAGTCTACTCCGTGTCGCATTAAGTTAAAGGGCAATGCCAAGCTAGAGGGGACAAATTAGCGGTCGCGTTAATCAGTTCCTTAATTTTCCCCCAATGGTCGCCTCGCCGAGGTGGAAAATGGAGGAAATGCAGGTCCCGGCGCGAGTTTTTGCCGACCGAGAATCGGGAGCGAAGCCGGGCGTGGCACGGAGGGATCTATTGTTCGCGAGGTACGTTCCTTCACCAAAGTTTTAATGGCCGAGACTCGTTCGAGATTTCAGTGGTAAAAACTCCACGCTTATATAGATGCTGAAAAAAATCATCGAGCCAAGTTCTTTCCGAGACTCTATTCAAGACGACGATTTGTAAACGGCCATCTGAGAGTCGCACGCGTTCAAAAGCGCAGAGGGCCTTCCGAATTTTTCGCCTAAACTAGCCAGATGCAATTTTTATGCATTACACAACAACGAAAGACGAATGCATCGGTTTTTAGAAAAATATCCGCAATTTCGTAGAAACTGAAGGACGGTGCTGACGGGAAAAGTCAGCC